AAAGAAACCCCCCACTCAAGCTGTAACATTACCCCCCTCTCTAGATTTGTTTTCAGAGTTTCCATTGAGCACGACGTTCTTGTAGATATCCTGGTTCTTCGGTGGAGCAGGGAATTTGTCTGGGTTCCATGGTGACGGAGGTGCGGAATGGGTATCAAGGGTGCAGGAGTTGGCACAAAGAGCACACCCTTTGCCAACACTCACTTTGAAGGTGACCGTCAGTTTCACATTTGGTACAGAAGCGAAGTTGGCGAGGCATGGCACCAGAAGGAGGAGTGATAATGGAGAACTCATGTTGTTCTAGGTGTTCCTCCAGGTTGGCCGCTTTGAGACGAGTACGGCATTGGTCCATCTCCTGTTGAGCACGAATAAGTTTGGCACCCACTGATTGTTGTGCTGCCAGTAGTAAGTTAATTTTGGCATCAACAGCCCTGAAACGATCGACTTCATCGGCAACTCCAGGGTCCTTGATATCCTGTAACGAAGCCCAGAGACTCTCCAAGAGGTTGTCATCCCGTGTCAGCAGATACTCCTAAGTGTCCTCCTCCCACTCTTTGTCTGATTGGTTCCAATTCCCCACAGGTTCAGTAACTCGAAGTACGTCGGCTGGGGTTGTTGATATTCGGCGTAGTCCAAAGGCCGGATTTCCATTGATGAGAACACCCATAGGAGGTCGAGTGACTGTGGTAGCGTAGGCTCCAGGAAAGTGAGGGAGTACGCGTTCCAGTGGATCAACATCCTGAACAGGGGTGGAGGTGTCGAAGGAAATGGATCGCCAGGATCAAGTGACGTCATTAGAGGGCCTTTGGATTATGTTGTCGCTGTAAACTACAAACTCCTGAGGATCGCTGCTGTGTCCTTCTGATGCTGTGATATATTCGCTGACATCAGCTAGTAGCTGAAGGTTGGGAGCATGGTCAATGCTACCATTGTCAGAGACATCTGAGGCGAGAGGGGGCATACTGGGTGAGTCGGTGGACGTGGCGAGAGGGTTATCAGGATTGGGAGATGACGAGATATTCATTGGTGATGACGATGGGAAAACCTGTGCAGGAGCAACGTGGTAAGATCCGGGAGTAGCTTCTGACTCCTGAGGGACTTCCAGGGGTCCAGGGAATTGGTGCAGGACCACGGCGTCACTGTTGGATGAGTCCAGGGAACCAGGGATAAGGAAAGGTTGATGAGTGACGCTTGGCAGAAAGGGGGGAAACAGATAGCGGAAGCCTCCTTCATCAAGGAACTCTAAGGAAGAGTTATCAGATTCTTGTTGAGAAGGAAAGCTCAGGATGGGGTGTCTGGGAACTGGCATTTCTATTACTCCAGCCGTGAAACGCTCTTCTAGGGTTTGAAGGTGGGAAGGGTAAGGAGTTGACGCTCTTTGGGGACCAGTCTCTGGAGAATTGTTATACCTAGGAGCCAAAGGGCGACGGCGCGGGTCCAGATTAGAAATTCCATTGTTATTTCTAGTGCGGTTGTTGCGCTCAGCAGGCATGAGGGAGATCCAAAAAGAGATTTTTCTTGAAAAAACCAAGCCCAGAATACAAACACAGGCAACTACTACGGACAAAGAAAGACCCCAGACACTAATCTTGATGCTCCCTAATGTACTCAAAGTACACCTGTGTCAGGTTGTTACTGTCGCGATTGGCAGCGATGACCGGGAGGGTGGTGGTGGTATGGGGGAGGGGGTGCTGGGCAGTGGCGGCAATGTTGAATGCCCACTGGTGTTCTCGTTCCAGGTGCCAGATGGTGGTGCAAAGGGTGAGGGGGATGATGAGGGTGAGGGCAAGGATGGCGAGGAGGGTGATGAGGAATGAGCCCAGAAAGGCGAGAAGGAGGAGGTGGGGGTGCTTGTCGACGATGGTGAGGGTGGTGACGGCGAGGAGGGCGACTTGGTTCACCACTGAGTAGGTCAGTAAAGGGGGTGGGAGTGAGCTCGACTGGGGATGTTACTTGTACTCCATTGTTAGCCCAGTTTAAGGCTTGTTCGGCAACGGGGGTGGTGACAGGGGTGGGGTTGCGGTCGAGATGGAAGTGGATTGCGTAGGTCTCCTTGATGAAGAAGACAGCAACTGCGAGGACAAGGATGAGGGTGATGGTGAGGAACCAACTGATGAGGAGAAGAGCGAGGAGTAGGGTTGTGGAGGCCATTGTGGAGATGGAGGAGACCTGCTCTTATGAAGGTTCATCCTTTGTTTGGTTGCAGAAAGTCTGCCACAGCGTCTTTGGCATGTGAAAGTTCGGTTCTCAGCAGCCAGGAGTCATCCAAAGGTGGGTATCCTTTCCATCTTACCTGATACACTGTTCGCTTGCCAACTGTCTTTGAATCAATGATACGTTTGATTTTGAACTCCTCCTGGTTCTTAATTAGTTCCGGTGGAGGTTGGAGATAGTTCTTCCTGTGCATTGCTGTTTCCAAATAAGGGTAGAGTAATCCTGCATGGAATACAGGGTGAATCTTCCATTTAGGCGGTAACTTCAGCCGATATACCACTGATGACAGCTTCTGATCGATGGTGAAGGGTCCATAGCATTTTGGTCCGAGTTTGGCTTTTGGATGAAGTCCTTTGAGGTTGGTTGCTTCCAGCCATACCTTCTGTCCTGGTGTATATTCAACGAACTTTTCCTTGTTTCGTTTCTTGACTGTCTCTTCTGCTAGTCGGATACTGGACTGAATCTCTGTACAAAGATGGGCTAGTTGAGTGAGTCTAGATGCAATGTTGGGAGCATCGGTTGTTCCCACAGTGGGAATATTGTGCCGGGGTTGGTAACCCATGAGCACTTGGAAGGGGGACATTTTGATTGCATCATGATACCTATTATTGTGCGCGAATTCCGCTAGTGGTAAGTGACTTGTCCAGTCAGTTGCTCGGTGATTGCAAAAGATCCAAAGGTATAATTCCAAATCTTGGTTGACACACTCTGACTGTCCATCAGTCTGGGGATGGAAGGTGCTAGAAATGTTCTGTTTGATGCCTAATTTAGTGCAGAGCTCTCTGAACAT